ATTTTGGTGATTACCGTTGCCAGTGAACAATCGCTGACTTCAAAGAAAACTTCTGTCTTAACACGAAATTCCTTAGTCAATTAGCACCGTTATTCGCGTTTTGATGAGTTGTCAGATGCGTTTTATTATTGTTTCAACTTCATTTGATTCTATTTCTGTGAAGTAATTGTTTCTGAAACGTCATCGTAATCACTACTATAATATCATGTAAATAATATCATTAACCATTTCATTGTTCTCTATTTTAAAAGTTATTCCTTTTGCATACAATATGGACTGTTTTCAATAAATTTGTTTGATTTGCGCATTCAGATGATCTCACATCGATCGTTCACAAAAGCAAAACACCGTCATTCCATGCAAGTATCCGTTCTTGATGAATCGCAGATTGTTCTGCTGCAACATTCAATATAAACGTTAAAAAAGTCGCTCATCTCCTTCGCTTGCTAACGAACGTAAGGAAGTCGCAGTTGAGTATCAGAAATCATTATAATTATGTGCAATTAACATTCATTAGGAGAATATATCATTGCCGACACTTACCAGTTGATTTGTGAATGTATTTTAACCGTTTTATCTTCATCATCAATTTTCGAACAATATTTCTATGAAGTGACGACTGTTTGTTAACGAACATCATAATCACTGTAACTAAACCAATTTATCATCATGACGAAACCTGCATTCTTCAATTTCTTGTTTTCTCGTTCAAATGTCAAAATTTACGATCACCTCAGCGTGAGAGTCACATCAATGAACGAACGGCGTGTTTTGCTGTAGGTATGATAAAAATAAGTGGCTTATTTATGACTAAAGATAGAAATGCAAAGATTGCGCTCAAAGGAAACTCCAGTATATTTTCTCATTCTGATGCAATACTATTACGACAGTGCGTGTGCTCGCCACTGATAAAATTTGGTGTGTTTGCGTAAGGTGCATTCCCGTTGGAGAATTCAGCTGACATGAGATAAGAAGATAAACACAAGCAGAAATTAAATTGTAAGATTGCACTTTAGCACTGAAGCGCTCTGCATACGAATGCAGGAACTAATTTTGAGTTACGACCAATATAATTCCGCTGCAAATTCATTCGGTTATAGATCAATTGGAAACGATCGTAGGTACATAACAAACGACTGATAGAATGATGATGGAGACAATGAAATGAGATTAATTACCGAGTTTGCCTAGATCCACTTCAACAAAATTCAATTCTCATCCACAACACCTGTTCAATAGGCGTACAATTCGATCGTCAGCGTCATTTCCTTGAAGCAGCTCAACAGAACATGCGCAACTTCAAGCGCTTTCCGTTTTCAGTCCATTCACAAAAGAAACAAACAACTACCTATACATAATCAGTGTGACAAACGTTCCCCTCAATCAATACAACGGCATCATTTGATTAAAATTTGATTAATCATTGTGTACGTTTCAACTTCGCACGATGCGTCCATCCATCCATCATGCATCATTAGCTAATCGATCAATTTCGATTTCTCATTTTCATTTCTTGTCAAGTCTACTCTTTTTTAGAGCAAATCGAATGCCATTCATTCCGTCTGCTTCCGGTTTTGGAAAGGAAATATTACTTTGGGTTAGGTTGGAATATTTATGACATTGCACTGACTGTTTACAGAGTTCAATCACAAAAAAGACCACCGCTCATAATCGAAGCAATTCAGCGAAGCAATTAAGGTGATGACGACTGTCGACTAGTCCTCATGTAGCGACAACGATCCTTTCAATGCTAAACAAATGTTGAACGTGAATAACTCCGAATACGGTTGTTGTCATATGCCATGTTGTTATTGTATACGATGGCACCGTATCACCTACACTAGATGATTCACACATTTCACATGAAACAACCTCAATAATCAAAATATTTACTCACACGAGTAGTCTCGTTCTTTTACTGATCATACGATACTGCCACAATCTCAATTGCAATTGTCAGTCACAAATTTTTGTTCGAAACATCAACACGTACGTGAATCGACTACCGCTTGATGTGTCAAAAGAGCGGTGACTCGTGACATTCCTTTCCTTATCAGGGCTCTAACCATTCCGATCGCGATTCAATCGATTGATTAATTGTTTCATCGACATTGCATCATCACTACCGGCAACATTGCTGTCATCAACATTCAACCATTATCAATCTCTGTCGGATGAATTCTTTCCAGTGATTTTTTAAACTTCTTTCTGATTTAAATAACTAACAATAAGCGCATTTCTGCATTCATGATCAATTCACTGTTGCCTTTATTTGCGCGTCGCATTCAATCAAACATCGCGTTGTGCTTATGCATTGATGATGAGCAGAATACCGAACGAACGCTTTTTGTGCTCGATGAAAACTGAAGGTTTCCTTGAAAACGAACACATCATGAAAGTTTTTATCGTTTGCGCTGCCATGAGCAGTATGTTCCCTCAGCGGTTCATCGAAAACAACAGTTTTACCCTCAAAATTTGGGAATTTCATAATGCTTTGGGCAATGCTAAAAAGCAAGGGGTTGGTGAGTGATATGTGAATTTGCTTTGAGATA